TAGTCCACAGTGGACGCGATAGAAATGGCATTGGGTGACGTTACAAACGTCAAAATAACAACTATGGAACATGCACTCAGCGATCTGTTGCAGGAACCTTGCCCATATCCTTGATACCTCCGGCACAGCTAGGAGTTTAGGCACAGCTAAGAGATTAGCAGGAAAATATAGAATTAAAGACATTTATGGAAAGTTCAACGAATTAGATGGGGTTTATGAGCACAGCCTGCGTTGTACCGTTGATTTTTGTGTGTGTTTTGTTTACTATGAGACGCGTATACCCTGTTATTATTTTAGGAAAATGTGATTGCACTCGCGTGTTTAATGAGGAATGCGTATAAGGTGACTACGATGATCACCCGTTACGAGTAGCAGAGATATGATTCTGGATTTGTTTCTGAGTTGATTTTGTTTTGTTTTGATTTGTTTGATTTGGTGCAGAGTTGTTTCTGGTTTTAAATTGGATTTCCAGTGCTATTGTATATTTACACGCGCGTTAGTTAGGTCAGGGTACCACGTACTTATATTACTTTAACGAGAGGTCTACGTTAGAGATTGCGAGTATAGTGGATGAGTTTTTGGACGCCAGTTGTTGCCATTTGAGGGCAAGCAACTTTTTATGCGGGGGGGTGTGTGTAATAGAGCGCGCGAGATTTAAATCCCCGCGCTATTTAAAATAATCTAGTAGTTTTAAAATAGATGGATAGCATCTGCGCACGATCAGCGAGATGCAGCAGCATGACTGGCTCCTACAGCGCATGTCCGTGACGGCTGAGAGCGGAGCAGCACTGTCGTCACGTGTCTCTGACTACCGCGCGACGTCAGGGCGCACAGCGCGTATTGCGCGGAGACCACCGTCAGTCATGACGACGCAGCGGTGGAAGGCGACAAATAACCTCAGCTGGGCGAGTTTCCCAAGAAACATATCGGCCCACCTCACGTTAGCGCCTCACCCTAACTTTAGCGTATGGCCTTCTCCTGTCTCATAAAATTCCATTGCCCGTGTACTCCGAAGTTAGAGCGCCAAAACGATTAGGCGCTCTCCTGTCACTAAGAATAAATGACCACAGTCAAGTATATTACGCCTAGTTACGCCTGTTTAAGCAACTCATATAAAAACGCTCCCTTAGGAAAAACGGTGGTTCTTGTCTTAGATCATCTATTCTTATCTTATCTTCTCCTTTCTATTTCGACGTGTCGTGCGGCTTTATACAATATACTAGCCGTTGTAGCCATATAGTTATCCACACCGAGTAGATCTTTAACGTGTTTTCTTCTAGCTATTTGTACGACTATCACCTGATTTGTGCGCATCGTGAACTAAATGACCATAAGTAGTGCTTCATATTCTTCTATCTCGTGATTTATTTACTTCGTCTTGCGCTGCATCGGACACATCGACACCTCGCTGACGATTCCTTCAAACAGGCAACTATTCACGAGCCAGCACGATAGAGAACAGGGTAATACACAACGCAAAGGACAATAACACAATCAAGTCAATGGCGCCTATACGATCGCGAAGCTACACGGGACACGTACAGAAGTAGAACACCTGTACATTTGGACCTGCAGCGACGCCCATAGATATCATGAAAGGGTTTGAAGTTAGTGGCATATACCCATACAATGCCGACGTCTTTGGTGATGACGAGTACGCTCCATCATCAGTCACTGACCGCCCGAAAGTGCCTAATCAGGATCAGGATAGCACATCCATGGACGAAAACTGTTCCAGGAGGATGAGCCCCCAGCCACCACCATCTCTTGGTGAAGACCAATTCGAGACCTATCTACAACACAGAGGACTACAAATTGAAACAGTTCGTTGTGATGTCATTGTATGCAATGGTCGCCAGCCTAAAGTCGGAAGGGATCACAGATATTACTCACCAGGAGTTGTGTGACAAAGTTACAGAAGAGGCAAGAAAGAATGAAGCATTCTACCAGGCGTTTAGTACATCCTGTGACCAAGATGTTGTGACGAGTGTAGGGAATTATGTCTTCTCCAAAGCCTACGACAACAATTTTGGAGATCTGGTGATAGCTGCTCTATGCAATACTATGTCGGTTACTGCAACAGTATATCTGCTTAGAGACGGAGCTGTCTCGGAACTCAATCATGAACCAGGGCAACCAGGGATTACATCTAGAGGTATCGTTCATCTTGTATTACGGGGAACCGGAGTTGCTGCACACTACAGCGCTGCGGTGAAAAGACAAACATAGACACAACCCATTCAGGCCGAGAAGGAAGATGCTACAAACATGACGAAAAACGTTGTACACAGTTTCACATCCCCTCAGCAGCACAGGACATCACAAGAGCCTGGCCGTACATCGTTTTCACCCGAGGAAGTGCGACCTCTACCAAAAGCTCCACCTAGAAAAATCTCTACCCGAGGAAGAAACGTAAAACTGCAATATTGACCGACACACCGGAAAAGAATGCTCTTGAAGAAGAAGCCAAGGCGAGAGAGGAAAAGAAACGTAAAGCAGCAGAATCAAAATCCACCAATAAAGCAGATAAAACGAAACCGAAAAAAAGGCAAACGAAAACGAAAGTGGCAACCAAGAAATCAGCAATAAACACTGCTACAAAGTCTCAGAAACGACTCAGATATGAAGCGTCGGATAAGGAGGAAACTTTCTGACTCGTCTCTGACGAACCATATTCCAACAGCAGGCCTGGGGAAAACTGGGTTCAGTGTGTTGGTTGTTTAAACTGGTCACATGAAGAATGTATTGCTGCAAAGGAACCTTACCTGTGTCACAACTGTGATACCGATGAGTATGCATAGGTCATAGGCTTAATCTGATGATCAAGCCTGAGGTGGGCCCTTCATTTGGTTTTAGGTAGGCAAGCTTAGCCTGCTATTGTTGAATCAGGATTGACGTTTGAACAATAAGAGCTAGGCTGGGAAAGACAGTGCAGTTTTGTTTTAGAGCAAAGGAGGACAGTAGCCATGTATTTTTGTAATCCTGGATCCACCCCTGGTGTAACAGTACGTCAGTTTGTTTGACGCTGGGAACTTATGAACCCCGGGGTATATATTTGGGAGGAAAAAACCAGGTAGTTAATAAAAGCAAATGACCGCAGTAACCCTACAGTTTCAAACACCACTGTTTATATTATTTCAGACGAAATATGGGACACCCAGAGCAGAGGAAACGTGACCTCAAACGCGCAGCGGAAAGTAATCAGTGTAACAGAGCGCGCGAGATTTAAATCCCCGCGCTATTTAAATAGTCTAGTAGTTTTAAAATAGATGGATAGCACTGCGCACGATCAGCGAGATGCAGCAGCATGACTGGCTCGTACAGCGCATGTCCGGGACGCTGGAGAGCGGAGCAGCACTGTCGCTCACGTGTCTCTGACTAGCCGTGACGTCAGGGCACCACAGCGCATGCGCGGGAGACCACCGGTCAGTCATGACGACGCAGCGGGGAAGGCGACCAATAAACCTTTGGAAGTCTCCTCCCAAGCTGGGCGAGTTCCCAAGAAACATGTCGGCCAACCCCTCACGTTAGCGCCTCACCCTAACTTTAGCGTACGGCCTTCTCCTGTCTCAATAAATTCCCATTGCCCGTGTACTTAGAAGTAGAGCGCCAAAACGATTAGGCGCTCTCCTTGTCACTAGAAATAAATGACCACCAGTCAAGTATAGTTACGCCTAGTTACGCCTGTTTAAAGCGACTCATACAAAAACCCTCCCTTAGAAAAAACAGGATCTTATCTTATCTTCTCCTCTTTTCTACTTCCGACGTGTCGTGCGGTTTATACATATACTCGCCGTTGTAGCCACATAGTTATCCACACCAAGTAGGATCTTTACGTGTTTCCGTCTAACTACTTGTACGATTAGGACCTGATTGGTGCGCAAGTGAATAAAGATCATCAGTAGTGTTTCATTCTTCTATCTCGTGTTTAATTTACTCGTCTTGCGCCGCATCGGACACATCGACACCTCGGCTGACGATCACCTTCAAACAGGCAACGTTCACGCCAGCACGATAGCGAACAGGTTAAGACACACGCAAGGGCAATAACATAATTAAGTCATCGCCTATACGATCGCGAAGCTACACACAGTCGGCATCTCCCGACGTGTCCCACGAACAGTCTAGACTCTAGAACACCTGTACATTATTTGGTGCCGTGACCAGGATCGTGCGGAAGGGAAAGTCAGCGGCGAGAGAGGAGGCAGAAAGTAAAAGCAAGTATTAATAAGAAACAGATGCCGCTAGAAGAACCGTCCAGCAACCAGCAGCAGCAGCGTAACGGCGAACGTACGTGAGTAACATACGTGCTTAAACATTGGAGTATCGACGTCAGCACTAAACTATCTAGGAACTGCATTGACATTCGAGCGCTAGCATCACTAGCAAGCTAGCATTAGTAGCGGTGACGTCAGCATCGTATCATCGCCAGCATTCAGAGCTATCAGACTTTGAGCGCTAGAAGCATCATCAGCGTCAGCGTAGCGTCAACGTCGACAGAAGCAGCATCATCATCGTAAAGAGATCGCCTGCAGCAGCATCAACATTAACAGCCACGATGGTAACCTTGCCATCGTCAACGTCGACTGCAGCAGCAGTAACAGTAACAGCCGCGACGTCAGCTTAGCCATCGTCAACGTCGACTGCAATACCGTCAACAGCAGCAGCGGCCCATCGCCATAAGAACTGAGACTATAGCAATGCGTATCACACGAACACGCTGAAGCTATTCCTAGCGAAGAAGTGACCTCGCGGCAGCGGCAGCGCAGCCAGCGCTGGTACAGCGTAGCATGGACGCCGTGTCATGTAAGTACAACACTCATTAATGCTCAGCTTAACATAATGTAATCGATGAATAGTAATTTTTAAAATCGAGTAAGCCGTCATGCAACCTATTGCCTAATCCTGCCCCGCTATGAAGCCCACCACTACTGCCTTCCATCACCCTGAACCTCCAATGACACAGTGAAGTTGAAGCGAAACTAAACAGCGAAGATCCGATGCCGGAGTTTAAACGGAAGTTGGAAGAGGAAAAGGAAACGGAGGAGGACTCTTCGAATTCACGTGGCTTCGCACAAGGACTCCGACCAGAGCGCATCATCGGCGCAACCCAGTCCAGCGGAGAGCTCATGTTTTTGATGAAGTGGGAAGGTAGCAATGAGGTAGATTGGGTCCCAGCCCGGCAAGCAAATATTAAATGCCCCCAAGTTGTAATCAGATTCTACGAAGAGAGAATAACCTGGCGCACGAATGATGAAGAACAAATTGAGGCATAACTGCGATCATAACTGCAACAGCAAGCAAGCGGCATGATCAAGGCGCAGCGATCAAGCCGCCATTGCAATCACGCTACTATCTACCATATGCGCAGCCGACACCGCGGCGGATGCAGATTCAACCAGCGACGCGGAGGCAGCCTACACGCTCTGCCTACCAAATAGCACACCGCGGCAGCAGCGAGGCAGCCACAGAGATGCAGCCATTCAAACAGTTTGAAAAGATAGATATTCTCTTAATAGGCCTATCTAGTAGTTAGACATTTCCTGTGTAACAGGTATATATAATGTGTGAAGGAGACGGGACGTACAACATGCAAGTGTACTGTCAACAACATGCAAACAGGCACGTACGTCAGTGACCGCAGGCAACCCATGCAAGGACGAAGACGTCGCTAGCCACAAAGGGGATCACACACCAAAGGCTACGAAGCAACCGCAGCCGCCAATGTCTCGGGCAGTTGATCCTTCGGCCAAGGATTCATCTGCAAGTGACCTTGAGGCTCAGGAGCCCGATGACGCAATCACCTACACCCCGGCGGAGGCAGAGAGTACAGCCACAAGCCTTGACATGGAAGAAAATTTGATGTAGGGTACGGACGGTGCACAAGATTCACAACCGTCCAGGAAAAGAAAAGTAGACGGGAATAAATCAGATTCCCAACTAGAGGCAGTACTAACTGCACAGGGAAAGATAAATGTTATAACAACGGCAGTGTAGCGA